AGAGGCAGCTGGGGGGAGGGGTGCATAGCGTGACTCTTGTCCACCCAAAGTCTCGATGGGCAGGGTTGGGGGGAGAAGATACAGACACTCTGGTGAAAGTGTAAAGTCTCAGATGCCCAACTCTGCCTGGTTCACTGGTCCCCAAACCTACAGCTTCCCTTACTCACCTCCCTCCTTGGGAATGGCCCTACTTCCACACTAAACCAGGTGCCCAAACTTCAGATCCAGGCCAAGCCCTTGAGCTTGTCATTGCCCCTCATCCTAGTGCAAACTCAGTGTGGTTAAGTGTTCCACCTCAGGTCATCTAGTGGGGAAGCAGCAGAGGCTGCTGGACCCTCTCCCCTCACCTTATGTCTTTAGTTCACAAATGCCTCAAAGACCCCATCACCACCACTGCCATCTCCCAGACACTCACATGACCTGCTTTTCCTGCAGGTTAATAGGAGGCATGGTTCGGAGACCAGTCTTGTTTGTTGAAGTACCATCACCTGAGCAGAGGGGGTCTGGGACCAGGAGCCCATTGAGATCTCCATTGTAGGCATTAGATGGTCGCTGGCTCTCTGCACTGGGACCTAGAGACAGAAAGGGCCACTCTGATGAAGTTATTCCACCTGCCCACTGGCCTCTCCTCCTGCAGAGCTTCACTCAAGAACCATGAGATGCTCTAGGAACACTCAACAAGGCTTGTCAGTGGGGAGGAGGGCCCTTTGTTCAACCTTTATTCCATAAACACTGATGGTGAACCTAATGCACGCTAGGACCAAGCATGAAGCTCTTCTACCTGGGGGAAGGGTATAAGAATGCTCTGAGTCCAATTAATACTCAGGCCTGGGTCAGTACAGAGGGACTCTGTGTACTTGAAGAAGGGCATGGGAAGGGTCAGGACAGACTTTACAGAGGAGGTGCCATCAGAGCCAGCGCGTCTAGAACACACAAACATGGGAAGGATGGAGGGAAAACAAGGCTGCAGAGGTCTCAGGTATGAGGCTAGGGTGCTTAGATTTTCCCTGTGGTAATGAGAGCCACAAAAGTTTTAAATGGGAAAGTGACATGATCTGCTATGGCCAGAGGACTGACTGCTCTAAAGTAGCATGCAGGATAGTTGAGAATCCAGGTGAGAGATACCAGGGCCTACATCAAAGTAGTGGAGGGGTTGGAGAAGAGAGGGTGGGCTTCTAAGGCATGGAAAGACATGATAAGATGTGGAAGTAAGAAAGGAAGGAGACTGCTTGACACGGAAATGGCTCAGAAGAAGCCACCCTGGAGGAATGGACATGAAGGAGTTGGACAAAGAGTAGAGAAATTATGGGGTAGGGTGTGTAATCAGGAAAGATAGCCTTTCAGTTGTTTACCATTGGCTGTGTTTCAAGCACCCTCATAGGTTCAGACACTACTCCAAAACTCCCAGGTAGCAAGGAGAGTAGGGCCTCATATTCAAGGAATATGACAAGTTTCTAGTCACAAAACTGCCTGGGGTCTCACATGGTCCTCCAGTGAGAGGAGACAAGCAAGGGCTACTTGGCAAACAGGGGAATCAAGTACCAATCAGTAAGCAAAGAGTTAAGAGGAAAGACTACAGGCCACCTCACTTGCATCAGAGCCACCTTAGCTGCTCAGGGGTAAGCTGACCACTCTCCCTTCCAGGCAGGCTACCATGAGGACAAACAAACAAGTTACACGTTACCCATGCCAGGCTCTACCAAACCTTTGTGAAGACTAACTAGTTTGCTAGCAGCTAATAAGCATGAGAGGGCCAGGCCAAGCTCATGAGTCCAAGGAGCACACACTCCAGGCCTGGAGAAAAGGACTTGGTGGTTCCAGGCAGCAGATAGATTTTCTCAGAGATTAGAGGTTAGCTAAACCCAGGAGTGAGCACCAGTGCCTGCTTCCAAAGGGAGCCAGTTTGGGCCTTCCAGCAGGTTTCACAACAGGGTCTGAGGAAACACCAATTCTCAGCTCTGGCCACTGCACATCCACACCACCATTACCAGCCAGTCTCTCAACCACTACAACACTTCACAGGTCCCTGAACCTGCCATAAAACTGGTACTTTCACATATGCTATTTCCTCTTTGCAGAATGTCTTTCCTGACACCCAAGCCCCTCTCTATATTACAGGTCCTAGCCTAAACATTGCTCTTCTCTCAGATCTGTTCTCAGGCATTCTCCAACCCCCACCCCACCCACCCTATCCCCATCACAGCGCCAAACACTTCTCTCTCTCAATGAGAATAGCATTATATTACACCTTGTTAGCTCTGTGTCCTAGGAGCTCACTGAGGGCAGGAGCAGCTCTGAGGTACCACTGCAAACCCAAGAAAAGTTTAAACGAATGGACGTAAACTAGGGCTTGCAGATGTTTGTAGATCCAATCAGGACTGTGCAGTCTGTGATTTGCCTTAAACCCAGAGAGGACACGGAATTGGGGGTGGTCACCTTCCTCCTGAAAATCAGTTTCAGAATCGCATGCCTAGAGTCTTTATTCCAGAAGGAAGGGCAAGTTGCATAGGGAGATCAGCGGTTCTTCAGCACAGCGCCTAGGTCTAGATCCAGAACTCTGCATACAGAGCCCAGACTAGGCCTCTGAACTATGGCAAAAGGGTAGGGAACCCGGGCCAGTCCCAGGAACACTAGAGACGTTGCGGCCAGGACACCTGGTGGGCTCTGCGAATTCAGAGAAGGTGCCTCACCTTCAGCCGAGACGCTGAAGGACGAGGCAGTACGGCCCGGCTCCGGGATGGGGCAGGATCGCACCCAGGGGTCTGCGCCCTTCAGCAAGCAAGCTCAGGGATTTGCCGCTCCGACCCTCGTCTGCCCTCACCAGCCGGGAGGATGCAGAGCCGGTCCTGAGTGACCCGAGGGCCATGAGGGTGGCCGAGGCCCGCACCGCCCTTCTGCCCGCTCACCAAGGATCCACCCCCACCGTTCCGGCTCACCCCCCGCGGGCCGGTCCAGCTTGAGGATGTCCCGCAGGTGCTGCGTGGCGTCCTCGATGTCGATGCTCGCGCAGGAGGAGGCCATGGGCCCAGACGCGGGCGCCCGGGTCCGCGCCGCGTTCGTTCGCCGCCGCCGCGCACCGTCCAGCTGAGCACTACCCCGCCAGGACCAGACAGTGGGACCAGTCACTACACTCGGTCCACCCAAAGCTCGCAAACCGCCACCCGCGCCGCGTCCCTGAGCCCCGCCAACCCCACCAACCGCCTCCACTTCCGGCCCGCCCCAGACTCGTCTCCCGGAACCTGAGCAGAGCGGAGAAGAAAGGTTCCGGGCTGGGGGTCGGACGCTTCGCCCCTACCGGAGCCCGCCCCTCGCGCGGTCCTGCCCCTGCGCTAGTAGGGTCTGGGGAGTTCCTCGAGGCTGAGGCAGAGCAAATGTCCACATACTGGACCGCCCAAAGCGCCCTACTTGCCTCAGGTTATCCCGCCCGGTCCATGTCCACTCTCAAAGCATGGGCTCATGGTGGGCCTAGGACCGGGTCAATTTGGTTGCCCAAGCTGAATCCCTCAGATGCCCCAGGAACAAGCTAAATTGGTAGGAGCCTCGGTTTCCCCTTTGGGAAGTGGGTCAGTGTAACCCAAGACCTGAGGGGACCCGTGAAGTCACGGACCCAGGAATTGCAAGGGCAGAGAAGGTCCCACCACAAACATCACATTGTTCCCTAGCATCCCCCTGCATGACCTGGCACCCTCAGGCAAAAAGAAAGGAACCATAGTTTACAAACACCTCTTTATTGCAGACATTTCAGGCACAGATACATGGAAAAGCTGTATTGCAGATTTTATACAGGGTGGTTTAAGAGGCAGCAGGTTTCTACCTCTCTCCCCAACCTCCATCCCCCAAATACACAGCAGCCAAGAAATCAGCCCCATTGAAATCTCCTGAGTATGCTGTCCTTTCAAACAGCACATCATCCAGCCCAGTGCCCAGTGTAGCCAGGCAACCAGTGGGGGTCTGAGGAAGTCCTTGGCTTCCATCCACAGTACAGGAGGGAAGGGGGCTGTGCAGGTCAGGCAAAGCTGTGGTGCCCTCACCAATCCTAAAACCCCTAACAGGGCATCAGCCCAAGTCCTGGGTTTGTTTCTAGCCTATGGTTGCTACCTTGCCATGAGTTTTACACCACCAAGGTCTCAGGGCTCAAGGGCTAGATTTGTACTAGGCAAGGCTTGTCCCCAAAACTGAGGAGCAGAAACTGCCCCAACAGCTGAGACTTCCCAGGATTTGAAGATAGTGTGAAGGTGTGTGTGTGTGTGGTCAGGGAGGGAATTGGAGGAGGCCTAGAGATGCCTTGCAGAGGTCTCAGGGGTGAGAAATCCTAGAACCTAAATCCCTCAAACTCAGAATGCTTTCTTTCATAGATCTAAATCTATACTCCAACCCAACCAGGCCTGGCTCCATGGGCATTGGAGGCTGGCTGTTCGAGTTACTCCCCTTTGGGTAATGATATCCACAGCAGATGGTACAGCATCAGAGCTGCCCTCTGCTTGGCTTGGGATTTATGGGGCACACTGGACGTGATCCTGACCCTTCTGTGGATAGAACAGGCCCTTCTCCCTCAAACTTCTGCTCATACTTGGCCTTGCTGAGCCCTCAGTTCAGAGGGCCTGAAGCTAACGGGCCATTTTTGCCAAGGCTTTTCCATCTTCGGTGGGGTTCTGGGTCATCTCACACGTCATTAGAGCCTTGACCCTACCCAGCGTAGACGTCACAGGAGGTGTCAGAACTGACTGCAGAGGCTTCAGCGCAAGGGAAGCTTCAGGTCAGACCTGAGCTCTGCCTGTCTGCAGCTCACTTTCCCAAGACCAGGTGGGCCATGGAGGGAACACTATGCCCTACAGGGCTTCTGAGAGAAGCCAGTGAGAGTGCTGCTTCAGCGTTTTCTCCTTGCAACAGGTTATCGCTGAAGTGGGGTAGAGGTGGGAGGGTGAGACATGAGAGAGCCAATGAGGCAGGGTAGTTACTGATGCCCAGCCAACTATTAAACTAATTAAAACAATTTAAACTGTTAAGAAAATTTTCGTGGTTTTATTGTATCATGAGGCATTGAAACATCTGAACAAATCAATATCTCGGTGGTGAGGCAGCTGCTTTCTCCTTCACTTCTTTGGGTTACTAGAGCAACTTGTCAGTAGATTAAAAAAAAAAAAAAAAAAGACAACCTTTCGCATTACTTAAGTCTTTCCAAGGCATGCGCTGGTACAACACAAACTTCTCCCATCAGATGCAACTAGTCTAGCGTCCAAACATCATGCACAATACCTCGGCAGCAGTAGCGCACTGCGCCCACTCCCACCGCGGCCCTGCTCATTTGTGTATGATATTTGGAGCATCTGGAGGAGCATGAATAATATCGGGAAGAGGAGGGAGGAGGAAACAGCATGAGTGCCTGGCTGGGAGGAGGTCAGCCGAAGTTGTGCAGGGCAAGCCTGAACATGTCATTGGTGCAAACCCAAGCATCATTGATGTTCTTTAATAGGAACATCTGGTGGAACCCCATGATGGGGTCTTCATCGGCCTGTGGGGAGAGAGAAAATGGTTCAGTAAGGTGCCCAAGGAGCAGGAAGGGTGTTCAG